CTTTGAAATAATGTTATATAAATTTTTTGTCATGTTTTATTGATTTAAGATCATTTGCACAAATTGCTTTGTCAGTTTGAGCAATTTCTGTGAAGTTCTGGCAGATTTGCAGTCGAAAATGTTAAAAAGAAGCTACTTTTGCACTAGGTTGCTTCATAAATTCACTGTATCTTTGAAATAATGTTATATAAATTTTTTGTCATGTTTTATTGATTTAAGATCATTTGCACAAATTGCTTTGTCAGTTTGAGCAATTTCTGTGAAGTTCTGGCAGATTTGCAGTCGAAAATGTTAAAAAGAAGCTACTTTTGCACTAGGTTGCTTCATAAATTCACTGTATCTTTGAAATAATGTTATATAAATTTTTTGTCATGTTTTATTGATTTAAGATCATTTGCACAAATTGCTTTGTCAGTTTGAGCAATTTCTGTGAAGTTCTGGCAGATTTGCAGTCGAAAATGTTAAAAAGAAGCTACTTTTGCACTAGGTTGCTTCATAAATTCACTGTATCTTTGAAATAATGTTATATAAATTTTTTGTCATGTTTTATTGATTTAAGATCATTTGCACAAATTGCTTTGTCAGTTTGAGCAATTTCTGTGAAGTTCCTGGCAGATTTGCAGTCGAAAATGTTAAATAGTAGCTACTTTTGCACTAGGTTGCTTCATAAATTCACTGTATCTTTGAAATAATGTTATATAAATTTTTTGTCATGTTTTATTGATTTAAGATCATTTGCACAAATTGCTTTGTCAGTTTGAGCAATTTCTGTGAAGTTCTGGCAGATTTGCAGTCGAAAATGTTAAAAAGAAGCTACTTTTGCACTAGGTTGCTTCATAAATTCACTGTATCTTTGAAATAATGTTATATAAATTTTTTGTCATGTTTTATTGATTTAAGATCATTTGCACAAATTGCTTTGTCAGTTTGAGCAATTTCTGTGAAGTTCTGGCAGATTTGCAGTCGAAAATGTTAAAAAGAAGCTACTTTTGCACTAGGTTGCTTCATAAATTCACTGTATCTTTGAAATAATGTTATATAAATTTTTTGTCATGTTTTATTGATTTAAGATCATTTGCACAAATTGCTTTGTCAGTTTGAGCAATTTCTGTGAAGTTCTGGCAGATTTGCAGTCGAAAATGTTAAAAAGAAGCTACTTTTGCACTAGGTTGCTTCATAAATTCACTGTATCTTTGAAATAATGTTATATAAATTTTTTGTCATGTTTTATTGATTTAAGATCATTTGCACAAATTGCTTTGTCAGTTTGAGCAATTTCTGTGAAGTTCTGGCAGATTTGCAGTCGAAAATGTTAAAAAGAAGCTACTTTTGCACTAGGTTGCTTCATAAATTCACTGTATCTTTGAAATAATGTTATATAAATTTTTGTCATGTTTTATTGATTTAAGATCATTTGCACAAATTGCTTTGTCAGTTTGAGCAATTTCTGTGAAGTTCTGGCAGATTTGCAGTCGAAAATGTTAAAAAGAAGCTACTTTTGCACTAGGTTGCTTCATAAATTCACTGTATCTTTGAAATAATGTTATATAAATTTTTTGTCATGTTTTATTGATTTAAGATCATTTGCACAAATTGCTTTGTCAGTTTGAGCAATTTCTGTGAAGTTCTGGCAGATTTGCAGTCGAAAATGTTAAAAAGAAGCTACTTTTGCACTAGGTTGCTTCATAAATTCACTGTATCTTTGAAATAATGTTATATAAATTTTTTGTCATGTTTTATTGATTTAAGATCATTTGCACAAATTGCTTTGTCAGTTTGAGCAATTTCTGTGAAGTCTCTGGCAGATTTGCAGTCGAAAATGTTAAAAAGAAGCTACTTTTGCACTAGGTTGCTTCATAAATTCACTGTATCTTTGAAATAATGTTATATAAATTTTTTGTCATGTTTTATTGATTTAAGATCATTTGCACAAATTGCTTTGTCAGTTTGAGCAATTTCTGTGAAGTTCTGGCAGATTTGCAGTCGAAAATGTTAAAAAGAAGCTACTTTTGCACTAGGTTGCTTCATAAATTCACTGTATCTTTGAAATAATGTTATATAAATTTTTTGTCATGTTTTATTGATTTAAGATCATTTGCACAAATTGCTTTGTCAGTTTGAGCAATTTCTGTGAAGTCCTGGCAGATTTGCAGTCGAAAATGTTAAAAAGAAGCTACTTTTGCACTAGGTTGCTTCATAAATTCACTGTATCTTTGAAATAATGTTATATAAATTTTTTGTCATGTTTTATTGATTTAAGATCATTTGCACAAATTGCTTTGTCAGTTTGAGCAATTTCTGTGAAGTCTGGCAGATTTGCAGTCGAAAATGTTAAAAAGAAGCTACTTTTGCACTAGGTTGCTTCATAAATTCACTGTATCTTTGAAATAATGTTATATAAATTTTTTGTCATGTTTTATTGATTTAAGATCATTTGCACAAATTGCTTTGTCAGTTTGAGCAATTTCTGTGAAGTCCTGGCAGATTTGCAGTCGAAAATGTTAAAAAGAAGCTACTTTTGCACTAGGTTGCTTCATAAATTCACTGTATCTTTGAAATAATGTTATATAAATTTTTTGTCATGTTTTATTGATTTAAGATCATTTGCACAAATTGCTTTGTCAGTTTGAGCAATTTCTGTGAAGTTCTGGCAGATTTGCAGTCGAAAATGTTAAAAAGAAGCTACTTTTGCACTAGGTTGCTTCATAAATTCACTGTATCTTTGAAATAATGTTATATAAATTTTTTGTCATGTTTTATTGATTTAAGATCATTTGCACAAATTGCTTTGTCAGTTTGAGCAATTTCTGTGAAGCTCTGGCAGATTTGCAGTCGAAAATGTTAAAAAGAAGCTACTTTTGCACTAGGTTGCTTCATAAATTCACTGTATCTTTGAAATAATGTTATATAAATTTTTTGTCATGTTTTATTGATTTAAGATCATTTGCACAAATTGCTTTGTCAGTTTGAGCAATTTCTGTGAAGTTCTGGCAGATTTGCAGTCGAAAATGTTAAAAAGAAGCTACTTTTGCACTAGGTTGCTTCATAAATTCACTGTATCTTTGAAATAATGTTATATAAATTTTTTGTCACGTTTTATTGATTTAAGATCATTTGCACAGATTGCTTTGTCAGTTTGAGCAATTTCTGTGAAGTTCTGGCAGATTTGCAGTCGAAAATGTTAAAAAGAAGCTACTTTTGCACTAGGTTGCTTTATAAATTTATAAAACTTAACTGGATCTTGGTTTATTGTTTCAGACATGATTAAAACTTTACTGAATCTTGATTCCAAATTTCAGACATGATAAAAACTTTACTGGATCTTTGTAATTTGTTGCAGACATGATTAAAACTTTACCTAATCTCGGTTTTAAGTTTCAGACATTCTTAAAACTTTACTGGATCTTAGTAATTCGATGCAGACATGATTGAAACTTTACTGGATCTTGGTTTTAAGTTTCAGACATGATTGAAACTTTACTGGATCTTGGTTTTAAGTTTCAGACATGATTGAAACTTTACTGGATCTTGGTTCCAAGTTTCAGATATGCTTTAAACTTTACTGGATCATTGTAATTTGTTGCAGACATGATTAAAGCTTTACTGGATCTTGGTTCCAATTTTCAGATATGCTTAAAACTTTACTGGATCATTGTAATTTGTTGCAGACATGATTAAAACTTTACTGAGGCTTGGTTTTAAGCTTCAGCCATGATTAAAACATTACTGGATCTTGGTTTTAAGCTTCAGACATTCTTAAAACTTTACTGGATCTTGGTAATTTGGTGCAGACATGATTGAAACTTTACTGGATCTTGGTTTTAAGTTTCAGACATGATTGAAACTTTACTGAATCTTGGTTCCAAGTTTCAGATATGCTTAAAACTTTACTGGATCATTGTAATTTGTTGCAGAAATGATTAAAAACTTTATTGAATCTTATTTTTAAACCAAAAATAAATATGTTATGTAATAATCGGTTAAACTTTTCCCATACAAAAATGTTTATGCATCTTGTGGCTCACTGAAAGCAACTTATGACTCCAAAAACAATACAGTTCTTGCGATAGCCATTATCTATCAGAAGCAAAAAACTGGAAGTCTTAATATTGAGTTTGAATCGAGTTAGTTTTTGTGATTTCTCGGAACTGAAACTGTCAAATGAAAAATTGTTTTCACCATTAGATAGGTATTTTGAGGCACAAACTTTTACATATCAGGTATTTGGGTTGATTCCGTAAGCCTGAAGCAGAAAGTTAAAAAAACTGATTTTCCGAAAATCCATGGTCATGCTTCAAACATTTTAAATGTGAGCAGTTACAGATGTACTCAGGCGGACATTGAGCATCATGATTCGGATCATTTTGTTGTTGGAGCGAAAATTCACTTTAGATTGAGTAACATCGGTCGCATCAGGAATGATAGCATCATGGCGAGTTATACTGCTTCTGTTTAACAATAGCTGAATGAGAAGAATGACGAGCATCCAACATGAAAAAACTGCCAGGTAGCAATGAATCAAGCGGCTGAAAAATGTCTAGGATATCATCAAGCGGGGAAAAAAGAGTGGTTCGATGAGGAGTGTAAAGAAGCAGTTCAAAAAGTGATTGAAGCAAGCAAAAAGAGAATGACGAGAGCTCGAGTTGAGAAATTAAGACAACTTAAGCGTGTCAAGAAGGAACTTCTACGAAGAAAGAAGAGGGAATTTGATAGAAGGTGTCTTGACGAGATTGAGGAACTCCAGTCGAAGAATGAGTCAAGAAAATTCTTTAACGCTATCAAATTTGCAAGGAAACAGTTCCAACCAAAAGTGTCCATCTGTATAGCCAAGAATGGTGAACTTCTTTGCAGCCAGAGAAGAATATTGGAAAGATTGAGGGAACACTTTCAGGAGTGCCTGAACCTCGGTGAAGTTGATCAAATTTAATTGCTTCTTGGAATTCAGCAATTCAACAAGATTAACATCTAATTTTTTGATTGACGTCATTTATCAACGACCCAAAATGTTTGTTTATATTTTCTGTGTTAATTTTTAAATAATTATAAAAATGCTTAGTAACAGGTTTATAGCGAAGAATTTCGTGCGATATTGCTCGTACAAGCCAATCAAGAGAGTTAATTTAAGTTCTTTACCAAAGAAAGCATATGTCGAGAAGAAATTAAAGGAATTCAATTTAGAAAAAGTGTTGCGATCAAAAATTGAAGTTACAGGCCCGCTGACAGGTAGTTAAAAGTATTAATTATGCATTAATTGGCAATTATAATTGTAATTTGATTTAGTCGCATCATATATGAAAGAAATATTGACAAATCCATCAAGTGGATATTACATGTCACGCGATGTTTTTGGACTTCATGGGGATTTTATTACATCTCCAGAAATATCACAGATCTTTGGGGAATTAGTAGCTGCTTGGTGTTTAATAGAATATCAAAAGATTGGATCCCCAAAGCCTTTACAAATAATTGAGTTGGGGCCTGGACGAGGTACTTTAATTCAAGACATATTAAGAGTTTGTTCAAGACTGAAGATTATTCCTCCTGAAAACATTTCGATTCATCTGGTCGAACTAAGTCCATATTTAAGCAAAATGCAGGCACAATCATTATGTTACACATCAACTGAATTTGATAAACAGGAAGACATGTCTTTCTATAGAATTGGCGAGACGCTTTCTGGAAGTAAAGTTTATTGGCATCATAGAATTGAGAATGTTCCTAAAGAATTTTCAATAATATTAGCTCATGAGTTTTTCGATGCTCTTCCTGTCCATAAGCTTCAAAAAGAAGGAAATATTTGGAAAGAAATTTTAGTTGATATCGATCCTGCTGATCCGAATAAATTTCGATTTATTTCGTCAAGAAATGAGACTCCTATCTCAAAATTATACTCAATAATGTGTCCTGATGAGAAAAGAAGTCACGTTGAAGTATCACCAGATACTGATTTTATTTTAAAGCATATTGCAGAGAGAATAGAGGAGTTTGGAGGCTTTGGTTTGATTATGGATTACGGTTATTTTGGAGATAAAGGAGATACTTTTCGAGTAAGTATTTTCAAATTAGAATAAAATTTGGAAGGTTTTACTTCCCACAGTAAGGTTTGTGGGGCTTTTAATAAAATAATGTTTTTTAGGCTTTTAAACAGCACAAACTCCATGATCCTTTAGTTGATCCTGGCACTGCAGATTTAACAGCTGACGTTGACTTTTTAAATATGAAAAATATTTTGGAAGCAAATAATAGATTAATAACATTTGGACCGATCGAACAAGGAGAATTTTTGAATCGTATGGGAGCCAAAGAGAGATTAGAAGTCTTGCTGAAAAATTGTGACGAAGGTCAAAAAGAAGCTTTAAAATCTGGCTACGACATGATTGCTAATCCTGAAAAAATGGGGTCTCGTTTTAAGTTTTTAAGTCTATTTCCTTACGTCCTGAAAGATCATTTGACAAAGTATCCTGTGAATGGATTTTAGAAAATAAATCAATACATGCTCTTTTGATTAGATTAAATATATGACATATAAACTTTATTTACTTATCGTTACTAAGTTGCACTGAAAAGTGAATATCACTTCCGTTTACCAAAATAATTGTTAATTAAAATGTTTTCGGAATCATCGAATTTCAAGACAGCACCAATAGCATTCAGCATCTTCTTTTTTGCTTGGGCGTCAGAAGTCGTGAGATAACTTATTGTTACATTTTTTAAATACTCTAAATTAGCACCTTCTCGTGACTTCATCTTTTCTAAATAGTATACTTTCTGCTCCAGATTCGCTATCTTTTCATCTAATTCTTCTTGTATCATAATTTTCTCTTTCAATGTCTGTCTAATAAGTTCCTCACATTCACGTTTTGATTTTCTTACGCTTGACAATTCCAAGTCCTTTCGAGCCAACTCATTGGAATAAAATATCATGTACGTTTCAGGTGAATTACTGCTGTTGGAATTTTGTTGATTTAAAACCATGCCTAAATGATGCTGCTGTGATGTGCTTGGTTTTCTACTTCCATTCGATTGTGTCTCATCCTCATAGTCTGTTGATGATTTCTTTGGAATGAAAAGTTCATATGAAGTTTTAAGAGCTCGAATCTCATTTTCTTTTTCATCTAGCAACATTAATGAGCGTTCACGCTGTTTCTGTAGTTGTTGCTCTAATTGAGATATTTTTGAACGATAATCGGCTTCCAAATTGTTAATAACTTCCCGATTTTTTGTTCTTTCAGCTTTAAGATCATTAATAAGGCTTATTGACTTGTTCTTAATTTCTGTCTCATATTCATCAATATTTCTATTCAAAACTATTACTTTCTCCTGTAAAGTTTTAAGACTTTCATTTTGATCTGTAAGCTGATTCTTTAGAACTTCATTTTCATCGACTAGCTTTTCTCTTTCATTCTTAACGAGAGCATATTTTTCGGCACTAACAACAGTCACATCATTATTTGTTGAGTTTGGAAAGATGTATGTCAAATCAATTGGATGTTCCAATTTTGTGTTTTCGTATACTAAAAGTTGTTTAAGCTTCTGAAGCTCATCGATTATTTGATAGACATTTGAAAATTTTTTACAGCTAGTATCGGCAAGTGAATCGTCGAAATTGTCAGATGGTTTCTGAAGTTGTGATATTTTTTCCTTCAATTGGATAATACTTTTTTGGTCAGACTCACGCAATTGATGATAGTGAGCAAAATTTCTGGACAGTTCAGCTATCCTTGACTCTAAATTTTGAACTCGTTCTTCGTGTAATGCTGTAAGCTTCTTATTTCTTTCATTGGCTTCATTTGCACGTTGCTTCTCAACCATTAAGTTATTCATATGTTGTTGCTTTAAATTCTCCATTTCTAGTTGTAAGGTTTGAAGAACATTAGAATCGTCCTTTAATTTATTATTCTCATAAGACTTTAATTTCTTTTTTACTTCTGACAATTCTTGATTTAAAGAATTGATGACTTTATCTGAATTGGATGTCTGTGAAAATTGTGTCTTTAACTGGTTTAGTTGTGTCTCTAAATTCTCTTTTAGATGTCTTTCATCATTCAATATTCTATCACAGCTAAAAAGCTTTGTTTTTAAGTTTTGTCTTTCGAGTTCCAGTGCTTTGGATTTTTCCTGTAAGTCTTTAATGACAATATCCTTTGTCTGTAGTTCTTGTCTTAAGTTCTTTTTGTCTGACAAAAAACTTGCTTCCATTTTCTTCTTCTCATCACTTAAAGTTTTTATCGAATCCATTAAAACACTAATTGGTGCTGTAGATTCCACTTTGTCATCTTCCTCTTCAGTTTCTGTCCCTTCCTCGCCTTCCTGTTTAGGCTTTTTAGCACTAAGAACTGCTTCCAATGCTTGTTTTTCATTTAAAAGACTCTTATAAGCTGTAACCACATCTGTAATTTAATTTTTTTATGAACAATTTTATAATTTTAAATAACTAGGCAATCGAGTTTTGATTAAATCTCACCTTTTAATCTTGTTTGGTATCTTGCTATCTGCTCTTTCTGAGCTTGTATTATAGAATTAGGATCGTCCATTGCATACAATTACTTGTAATTACACAAATTTTTTAAACTTTATAATTCTTGAAAATTTTCACGTCTACAAAACAAACTTTATTTTTGTGCAAGGGATTTCAAGGAAGTGACTCTAGTGTTCATTTGTTATTTTTTAGTACATTTCGAGTGTCTATGCATTGATTGTCGTATTAGTCACCTAAAGAAAATAATAGACAAATTTTTAAATACATTTTAATTTCTTTATTCGTATTATTTGATTGAGATTAATATTCACAAATAATTTACAAGGATGGAGTGGCTTTTTGGAAAGAAAATGTCTCCAGATGAGATGCTTAGAAAGGTATAAAATTGGTTTAATTCCTTTATGTATTGACTTATTGTTGTTGTTTTTGTTTTTCGTCTTTCCAATGTTCTTCAATCATTCATTAAGAACCAACGAGCCTTGAACAAAGCGATGAGAGATCTTGATCGTGAGCGAATGAAAATGGAACAGCAGGAGAAAAAAGTAATTGCTGACATCAAGAAGTTAGCAAAAGACAATCAAATGGATGCAGTTAAAATTATGGCAAAAGACTTGGTGCGTACAAGAAGGCAAGTTAGGAAATTCATGCTAATGAAAGCAAACATCCAGGCAGTATCGCTCAAGATCCAGACACTTAAATCCCAAAATACGATGGCACAGGCTATGAAAGGTGTCAGCAAAGCTATGATGAATATGAATAAACAAATGAATATGCCTCAAATCCAACAAATTTTACATGAATTTGAAAAGCAATCCGAAATCATGGACATGAAGGAAGAGATGATTAACGATGTTATTGATGATGCTATGGAAGAGGAAGGCGATGATGAAGAAAGTGACGCTGTTGTCTCACAAGTTTTAGACGAATTAGGCTTACAATTGACTGATACATTATCAGGATTGCCTCAAGTATGCATGCTTAATAGTTGTTTATGTGATACATTCCTAATTGACACATCATTTTTTTTAGACATCAGGATCATTATCAGTTTCAGGCGTCAAACAGCCACAAGCAGCTGCAGTTGCAGCTGGAGGTGGTGGTTCTCCAGATGCTGATGATGAATTACAGAAACGTCTTGATAACTTACGTCGCGAGTAACTTCCCAATAAAAAATTTTATAAGACCACACACACACACGATTTATTTATTTTAAAAAAAGGAATGTGACGTATTTAGATCAATTAGATATAATGTCTGATTGATAAACTTATCGTTACTTCTTCAAATCTAATAAATAAAAATCATCGATTATTTTTAAATTTATTCTCTTTATTTAAAATTTAATTCAATAAAATAAAATTATAACATGTTTAAAAAATAAAAATAATGTTAATTAATTGAAGAAAAAAATGTAGATAATTTTGTGCTATAATTCACAAACTGTGATAATCGGTTAATGAACCAACAACGCTCTGCCGTAAGCAATCAGTCACAAAAAGTACATTTTGACTTAAGAAATTGCTCATTATGTTCTCGGAATTTTAGTCACTTAAGTCAATCTTAGTGATAAGTGAAATATACGCGCATTTGCCATAGGGGCCGTTCACTTATTACGTAACGCTTTTAGGGGGGAGGGGGGTCTAAGATTTTGTTACGGTTCAAACAAAAGAATTTTTTTTTCATACAAATTTTGTTACGAGGGGGGGAGGGGGGGTCTAAAAAGTAGTTTTTTCGCGTTACGTAATAAGTGAACGGCCCCATAAACATCATAGCTTTTAAGAAAAATATCTATAAAAAAAAATTATTACAATTTACTCTTTGCACCTTTTGGAACTATACTAATATAGCTTTTCGCTAATGGATAAAGCTGTTTAGAGGATTTAAATATAGCGAGATCGGTTATTGGTGTGTATTCCTTTGATGGTTTTGCTTCATCTTCTGGAATTTCGACCTGCTCAATGTTCTCTGGATTAGAAACAATGTGTATGAGCACTGATTGACGTGCTTCGGCATTTGGAGTAATAAAGTGCTTGTAATAGTCAAGAACTTGATCTTTTGTTATTGATGCTAAAATTTCAACTTCTTTCTCAGATCTATCAAAATGGTACTGCTGTAATGAAATCTCATTGATATATTGCGAGTATTGGGCTGATAATCTTTTAGGCTTTTCTAATTTCGCTGCTTTTAAGGCCTCCTTGTGCCTTAAAAACTCTTCGTCACTCATCTTTTCAATTTCAGTCTGGAATTTTTTTTAAAGGTTTATGAGTCATAGGAACTAGGAACGATAAGATAAGAAACTTACAACCATCGATTCCAAAAACTTTTCTATCCTATGATCAACATATTCTAAATTTTTTGCCGACTGCACAAGGATTCTCATACCTTTTGCTCCGTTTGCCTTGCGAACACCGGAAAAAACAATATACCCAAGCTGATCTTGTGTCCTATAATTAGAGATACTTAAATACTTAAATTTCACCTTCAAAATTAATGAGTCATTCGCATTTCACCTTAATACATTGTAACAAGGTTCTGACAAGATTTGAGCCACTAAATCTAAAAACACGTTACTGCTATCTTCCTGAACGCCACATTGGAGATATAGACTAGAACAACTGCTTTTATGGAATTCATTTTGAGTTTTAAATAAATACTTTTCACCTATAACGAAAAGAATTAATGTACTACTACCTTTATCGTTTAAATAAAGCACTTACCTTCGTTTAATTTATATTCTCTCTTAAGAATTAATTGTCTGGCAAGCTGAGGTAAAACATAAGCATTAGTTTTTTTCAATTTATTCTCAATAAGTTTTGATATTTGCGTTGCTTTTTCTTTGTTTACATTGCCGTAGATGAATGCTTCTGCATGTAATCGTGAAAGAATGTCCTTGATGAAATCTCTTAAACGATCAGCATTAACCACTGTGAGAGACAAAATAATAAAGTAATTAATTAATGTTCATCATCCTTTGACTTACATTTCATTGCATCGATCAATTCTCGTTTCGTCCAAGCTTGTTCGGTTAAAATGACGGCAAGATGGTAAATAGCCAACTGATAAGGCTGTTCGGCATTGAAATTCTTCAGTCCACGTTCGTATTGTTCGCACATGATTTCAAATCGCTTATTGTCAAAATCAAAGCTGAATAATTTATCCAAAATCGTTTCAAGCAACTTGCTTTGTTTGTCAGAATATCCGCTGATAATCATACTGATTCCATTTGTAGTATTAGAGATATTGAAACGTAAGCCAGCGAGTTCAGCAGCATAAAGAAATTCATTGATGCTATCTTTAAACAATGACACGAATAAATGAGTTAAATTGCAATTCAATGGATCAGAATACACATTAGGATTGCTGAAGTCAACTCCAATAAACATTTTCGGCTTTAAAAATTCGTTGTCTTGTTTGTACCAGACTCTCATCCAAGGCATATCGTGAATTATTAATGGATGAATTTTTTCATTTGTCTCAACAGACAACAGATTGAAATCTGTTGGAATAAACAGGTTTGGTTCTGGCAAGTATAATTTTTTATTTGTTCCACAATTTGTCCATCTCTCAATTGTTTCAGGATCGATTTTTTCAGTATGATACTTGGTTGAATACCATTTCTCAGTTTCAGTGCATTTATCTCCAATTTTCTGACCAACGATTGTGATTCTGCAATTTTGAGGATTTAATCTTTGCAAGATGTCATTTATTAAATCTTCACGCCATTCTGTAAGAATGTAATTGGCAGATAAGACATCAGGGATTGGATAAGTAATCATTTGATGCACAATATTTGAGACCAAAGATAATGGATTCTCTTTATCTTTAAATCGAAATTGCATTTCATTCAACTTGCAATATTCATCGAATATCCATTTTTGTGGACCTTTCTCCCTCAGCAAGTTTAAATATTGAAAGATGAGCTTTATGATGTCATCAATATTCTCAAATCCTGATTCAGTTAAATCAACAGATATTTCAAAGAATCCAAATCCTTTTGCGCTTGAACTTGCTCCACCGACTAAATTGTTGCACCACCCTCTAGATTTTAATTCCGATAAGATCGATCCTTTGCCTTCGTGACCAACTAAATGCGAAATATAATGTTCAGGCTAAAAATAAAACGATTATAAAATGAATTATATGCAACTTTGTTCTGCTATTTCTTTTAGGTCTTACCCCACTTCGAAAATATTCATCCATGTCTGGAATTTGGAAAGAAATTGTCAAATTTCTGGTGTCTTTAATGGGTACAATAAAGACTTTTGTCATTTTTTGATCATCGAGAAAGATTTTATCGCTCCATACTGGAAGTGATACATTTTTATTTTCAATTCCAGAAAAGTATTTAGTTGTCAATTCCTCAAGCTCATCGAGTGATTCCTTCCCGAATATAGCAAGAGTCATTAAGTTTGATGAATAAAATTTGTCATGAAATTTAATTAATTCAGCTCTCGTGTCAATGCCATTTTGCTTGGGAATATCCAACAGCGTTTCTTTGTTCCCAGTTCCGAATTTAGCGAATGGATGTTCTGGATTTGCTAGAGCTTTCTGAACTTGTCTTATACGCCAAACATCAGTTGCTAAAAATAAAAGTAATCGACAATTGTTGTTATTTATTGTTACAGACCTATCTCAACATAAAATGTAACAACATGTTACCTAGATTTTTTTCATGTTCAGAATGTACAGCGTTAATTTCACGTAATGTTGCGCTCTCAGTAAATAGCGGTGCAATAAAAAATTGAGAAAATCTATCGATAGCATCTTCAAACTTTTCTGGCATTACGTCAAAATAGAACTTTGTCAAGTCTGGGTATGTAGCTGCATTGGATGAGCCACTATTCTTGCTTAAAAAACTGCTGTATTCATTTTCGTTTGGGTATTTTTTTGTTCCTAAGAATAACATATGTTCAACAAAATGAGCTAGTCCAGGAAGATCCAATGGATCGCTCATATGTCCAATTTCACATGATAGGCAACATGCACTCTTATCAGTTGATGAATCGGAAATTAGCAATACTTTTATCCCATTGTCAAGTTTAAGACCTCTATAAAGTCGTTTATCTTCTTCACTTTTCACGATATTATCGAATCTTGTTACTTCCTCATTTTGTAAACTTGACAATGACCCTGACATGCTGCTATTTACACTACTTTGAAATTTTTCCGATGTTTTCATCATGGGCTTTTTCCCAGAATACGATGAAGTAAATCTACTGCTTACTCCAAGGATCCAGTTACTACTTCTTTTCCTAATTATGCAAAAAAAAAAAAATGATGACGATTTTATTTATAAATTCATCATTTTTAAACGTACTTTAATTGTCCTTCTACTAGATTACAGGATATATGTCGAATACTATACATCAAAACGAAAATGAATCTTCAGCTCCTTAAATAAATAAATTTACTATTTAAAAAGTGAACTTTATCTCTTGAAACTTTGACTAATAGTATTATTCAGTTCTAATAATTTTTTCTTAGTACCCAGAACAGCAAGCAAACAAAAAGCGATGCAATCAGTGAACATTTTGTCTGCTATGGTTCAATTAAATGTATAGGGAACATCTATAGGTTATTATTAATGATTCAAACTTATTTGATGAATAAAAACGCCGTAATTCGTTGTGACTGCGTGTAAAATGTGGCTTAGATGATTGTTCAAGTGTTCAATTCTCAACGGTTTTCATAAATTTGAATTGATTAAGAAAACACGACTTATGTTGAAAGCCAAAGAACTTCCACTTCACTGTCTATACATTTTATTTTAACTAAGGAATGCAAGAGAAATACTATTTCTATCGATGCGTGTGTAAGTGTCGCTGTTATTCATCAATTAGCTAATGATTCGATGATTCAAATGTTTCGAGTTTTAACGAGATACTTATTGTAGCATCAGAGCAAATATGACGAAAAATAAAAACTCAAACATGTATGCTTTATGGGCGATTCTACGAATGATTTGTTCTACAAATTTGTCTCCAAATCTATATTTCTCTTTATCAGTTGCATTACTCTCCATGTTTCATATATTTAATAGTAGATTTTACCGAGATCTACATATTGTTCTCACCCAAACATATTAAGAATGGTTAATTAAAGAATTATTTACATTCTACGAAAAATTACCTGTCTTATCTGTTTCACATGAATTTTTTCGCTCAAATGTTTTCATTAATATCTTTAAGGTGGTAAAATTTCCAGTAATACTAAGTATACAAAGTTATAGCTTAAAGTAAAAGCTTCAAAACGATGTCAAAATCATATTTGTGGAAGCCTTAATTAAGCTGCAATTTGGATTCTACGAAAAATTTCATAAGGGGCCATTCACTTATTACGTAACGCTTTTAGGGGGAGGGGGGTCTAAGATTTTGTTACGGTTCAAACAAGGAAATTTTTTTTTCATACAAATTTTGTTACGAGGGGGCGGGGGAGGGTCTAAGAAGTCATTTTTTCGCGTTACGTAATAAGTGAACAGCCCCCTAAGTGAAACAGAGTAATTTGAAGAAAATTCCAAAAAAAAACTACCAAATATTAAAATTAAAACTATGAATTTCTCAAGCCATAGCTGAGTAATTTGAGTGCAGATGTAATCATAATTCACAGTTTAACCAATAGAAAAGGAAATGAGAATTAGATTTTTGAAAAACTATGCACAAGTGAAAATAAAATAATTAAAAAATTTCATTTTATGAAAACAAAGGAAAGAAACAATGAAAAGAGCCAATTTCGACTTATCGACTTCGAGTTCTGCATACGACCATAAACCTTCATGTCAAAATTCAACTTCATTGAACCATTACACGCTTTGCGTGGAAGTTTGTAAACTTTTCTGACAAGTTGATTCCCCTTTCAAATCAAAATCAAAACAAATCGAAATTGTCGAATTAAAATTCAGAAATTAATTAAATTTATGCTCTAAAATGGCACTGGTTCAAAAAAGACCATATCCAGAGACGTCTAAAACACTTCAGGTTTGTAATCATCATAAAAATATTAATGGAGAATATTAAGAAACGTTTAATGAACAAAATGCATAATTCGTAGATTGAAAACTTAGAACCACCAAAGAAGAAAATTAAAATTCAACTGAAAGGAAGTGAAAGATCTTTTGCAGCATTACTGAAACGTCTTGAAAGCACTTCTAGCAGTAATGAGACATTACAGATACTTACAGAAATTTCAGATACTCCAAATTTCTATGATTTGTCACTGGATGCTGTGAAATTCTTAGTGAATATGTTTCGAAAGGAAAAAGACTTTATACGAGTCAAAATATTGTACTTGATGAGTGATTTCGCAATTGATCATACAATCGATGCATGTTCACTTTTAGAAGATATTTTAATTCTAATGAAATCCGAAGAATCGTCAAAAGTTATCTGTCAATCGTTTAATTCAATCTTTAATATTGGACAATCCGGTCAAGTAATTGCACAAGCTGTCTATTTACGAATCATAGAATTTGCTAAGCAAAAATTGTCATCTTCTAATTACAACGTTCAAAGACATGCAATAAGAATTATTGGAGCATTTGCCAGCAGGGAAGATGCTGAAAAAGAGTTAATGCTCTTAGTATCGCATTATATGGATAGTCCTGATGCTAGAACCCGTGCACAGGCAATCAATTCTATTTTATGCATGGGTAATAGAGCAATCCAATTATCACAATCACTTTATTCGAGAGTTGAAAAGCATCTTAAAGATGACTACGAATGTGTTAGAAAAGAAGCTCTGCAGTTGGTTTTTGAAATAAGTCAACGACACCCAGAATTGTAAGTTTCAAGTTTCAGTAATATTCTTGATAATAATGATTTTCTTTAAATAGTACCGTGAAGCTTCAAGATAATGATAATGAAATGAGAATTCGATTGATAGACGATGCGTTTGGAAAAGTCTGTTCAGCAATATCAGATTTATCGATGCAAGTGAGAGCTCAAGCTGCTGAATTATTGGGACAGATGAAGCTAGTAAACAATGAATTTTTGTTTCAAACTCTCGATAAAAAGCTTATGAGCAACATGAGACGCAAAAAGACATCACATGAACGAGCTTTTGAAAATTTTACAAGTGGTGAATGGTCTAGTGGACGAAAATGGGCAGATGATGCTCCACAGGAATTGATTAATACAGAGTCTATTTCTCTGATCGATTCTGGCGCTTGTGGTGCTTTGGTTCAAGGTTTAGAGGATGAATTCTTAGAAGTAAGAATGGCAAGTGTGAACAGCATGTGTAATTTATCATTAAATAATCCTCCTTTTGCTGAAATTTCACTTGACTTTCTTGTCGACATGTTTAATGATGAAATTGAAGATGTGCGATTGCAAGCCATATATAGCTTGACTAAAATATCAGAACATATTATCCTTCGTGAAGACCAACTGGAAATTATGTTAGGATCATTAGAAGATTACAGTGTAGAAGTTCGTGAAGGACTTCATTTAATGTTGGGAGCATGTCGTGTGTCAACAAGAGCTTGTCTCACTTTAGTCGTTCAAAAATTATTGGATGTGCTGTCAAAATATCCACAAGATAAACTTTCAGCATATGGTTGTATGAATAAAGTTGGAAGCAAACATCCAGAACTTTGTATGTCTTTGACACCGCAACTTATTCAAGATCATCCATTCTTCGATAGCGCTGAAAAAGATGTTGAGGATCCAGCATGTAAGTCAATATCTAAGGAAATCCAACTTTTATTAAAATTTAATGTTTTTTCACAGATGTTTGTGTCCTGATTATGCTGTTCAATGCTGCAAAGAATATGCCACCAATGTTGAGCTTATTTCCCGATATAATTCTTAAACATTATGCCTATTTAAGAGACACAATGCCAAACTTCGTACCATACTTACCGGTTCGTAATCAGACCGAAATGACTCTTGTTGGAACAACGGGATCACAACAGTTTTTGAGAACGTTATTGAGTAATATTGAAGCTACATATTTTATCAAAACAGCGCGTCAATCATTACTTCAAGCAGCTCAAGAGAATCTTGGTCGATTAGCTTCAATTGATCCTGAATTATCGGGAACAGCAAATTTTACTCGCGACTATTTGGGAGCTGAGCTCTTAATGGAACAATTACAAATTAACTTAATGACTCATCGAGTACCATCAAAAGAAAGCCTTAATCAGTTAATTAATAAGTGCTTGAGACTTCAAAATCTCTTCAATAATTTAACTCCTGAGGATCATATGTTGGTAAAGCAGATTTGTGTGCGTGCTAGTGCTTTAAATTTAGTTTTAGTTGTTAAAGATAAATCACAATCGGCTTTACTTCCATGTCAATTACTGCTTCATGTTGCGTCGGATGTTCTTGAGTTTTTGAAACAAAATCCAAGTAATTATTGCAACTTAATTTAAAATTTATTGTTCCGATTTAATTTAATTAATATTTGTCTTAACCAGATCTATCTACAGACTTGTTCACAAAGTCAATTTTGTCTTACTTGGAGACAGTGAGTGATCCAAAACCAGGCCGTGTTTCGAGAGGAATTTTACCGGTCGTTCAATCTTCTAATTATCTGCCAAATTCATTGTCATTAAACTTCAATGTAAGTATTAGTTCAAGAAGAAATTCATCAGCATGTCCGCAATAAAAAAATAATTTTTATAATACTCAAAAAAAATTAGATCAAAATGTGCACAGCCAGAATCATTGAGCCTGATGAAGCAATGTCTAATGAAAATGTTATTAAAGTTACTGCTGGTTTAATAGCAGCACTTCCGATACATGCTGAAATTGAGCAATTACAAGAATGCCAGCGTGAGAATTTGAGGATAAAAATTAAATATCCAGATCAAAACATTCACGTCGTCATGCCACGCTTAAGAGATTTAAAGAGAATAATTGGAGAAAATGGAAGTGAGATGTTAAACAGCTGGCGATTAAGAACAAATATATTGTTATCTCAGTAAGTATACTGGTTGTTTTACTCGTACAAATTACTAATCACTGATTTATTATCACAACAGTGGAATCTGGACAGAGCCGTCACAAGTCGACATATCAATTTGTTTATCAGTAAAGCCATCTAACGAATTGGAATTGTGCAAACCTGTAAAAGTGATTTTCTCACCGAAGCCAATAAGAAAAGGAATTTAAATTTCTTTATTATACTAGCTTCTTTGCTTACATTGTAAGTAAATTGAATTTATTTTAAATGATCTCATTTCCTGGATCAAAAATCAGATCTGTGCTAGAATTTAACAAAAAAATTTCAAACCTTTTTTTTCTTCAATCCTCTCAATAGAAATATGCGAAAAACAAAATTTTTTTTGGGTTTTATCAACATAGAAGTGGCTGTCATTTACTGTAAATAAGAAAATTTTAAATATCGAAAACTATTAAAGTGCTGTAAAATTAAACAAGGTAGCAGCTACCAGCTTATAATGGCCTAAAAGCTGAAAATTTATTAACACCTGAAACAAAACGTCAGCATTTTAGCAGTTGACAGTCAAATAAAAGTAAAATAAACAAAACATCAAACAATATTTTGATAATAAATTATATTTTAAACTTACATTAAAAAATAACGAGTTTTATAAAAAAATTTACTAAATGACAAAACATAAATTTCATCTCCTTCTATTTCTTTCATGATCATCTACAACAGCTAATGGTAATCAAAATTGTATTTCATTCATTTGTTATAAAATAGCTTCTAAAGTTCTACTTATTACTTCTAAAAGTGATGTTTTATCAATAAAAAAAAACTTTTATTGAGCACATCCACTTATTGTCCCAACCGGCGGTGTCGTTTCTAAAACGCACATTAAATTTCTTGCATTTTCAATATAAACTTAATTGATTCATAAAAAAAAAATGAAAATCGGAAAATTTATTTCATACTTTTTTTTATGTCTTTCATATTATCATCATCGAGAGATTTAAAAGCGGTTTAACCGCACATGGCAAGCAATCATTGTGTGTAAATTTTTTTTCTCTTCTTTATAAGATTCAATAAATTATTATTATTTGTAATCTCTTGATGACAACAACAAATGATATATAACGTTATTTAGAATAATAAATATAATGTATTTTGCTTTAATTTCATTTAGCTATAATATGAATATAATTAACTAGTTAATAAACAATTTAATTTAATAATATTAAAATTCAAAAATACAGTAAACGAAAATCACAGCATGAATTTTTCGTGGTTTCTAGCATATAAAAATGCTTATTTGTTTCCAGGAGTCATAATTGAATATTAATAATTTATTGGATATGCTTGGTATTTTTGATTTAAATTGAGATTTATTTCTTGATTTTTTATGTGTTGGCTGCTGCTCACTTTTAGAAGATAGATTCTTAAATTAAGGTCGTAAAATCAGGTCATATTATTTACAAAACCTTTCAAATGTTCGTAATTTTTTTGAATTTGTAAGGTTTTGTAAAATGAATTTTTGTGTTTAAAAACCCCACAATTGCTTTCAAAATCTTTCCGAAATTTCAAATTTTATTCAACCGTTGAAAATTTAATGAGCAATATTTCCAAAAAAATCTTAATATCTTCAATAAAATTAATAACTCCTGTTAACTTCATGAATTATTAAAAAAGAAAAAACTATTTAAAGATACATAAAAAGTAGTTTAAAATTGCTTTTCGTTTGAAAATTATATAATTAGAGATCGGAAATTACATAAATCTTTATTCCTTGATTCAATCATGTATAGTAAGTACGTATAGTCAAAAATTTCTTAAACAAGAACAACAAGAAGAAATCTTTTCATCATCAAATTCGTAAAAAAAAATCGTATAAAAGTCTCTCAAAATTGATTCGATACGGCGTTAAATAAAAAATTTCTCTAATATAAGAAATGCATTCCACTAAATATTCAGTCTACGTCATATATGATTCATTTTCTTCATCTTGCAAAGATTTTATTTTTTCTCATTCATTCTAGGAAATAAAAAAAATATAGAAGAAATATTAAAAGCATGAGCGATGCAGTTGCGAGCTAAATAAAAAAAAAATTGCAGTTTGTATACGGATGTAATTTATTACTGAATAGTGAAATAAACGTTTTATGTATTAAAGTATATATTATGTATATATCAACAGTAAAAAACAGAACCTAAAGAGCTGTTTTGTTCGCGCTTCATTTAAATAATATGTAGATAAACTTTTTTGAATGGCAATTAAGACTATTTGCTTGATATTAGCACAACGCTAAGTGTCTTAAGAGATTTTATACTTCATTAAATTAATCTCTCTTGAATGACGTCTAATCTATAACTTTCCTATTCCTATCCATTACCTCATTCTTGTAAAATTTCCTTTTCTTAATTTTACTCCCTAAAAAGTTCTTTTCGCGACACAGATAGGGCTATAAATTGAGAAGCACTGATATAGATTAAACACGTGTCCAGAATTTGTGGGCAAGTCTTATTTCTCAATGGTATCCAATTTAGGTTTAACATGTGGCGATAAGTTTATCAAAAAAAGATACTAAATTTGGGAAGATAAATAAGGTCTAACCACATCTTCTGGACGAATGTATACTTTTCAGCTTCATCATACTAAGGGGTCGTTCAATTATGATGTACGACAATGAATTTCCAGGAATTTTTATTGTTCTTTTCTTGCTGACCCCCCCCCCCCCCCCCCCCCCCCCCCCCCTGGACGTCATATGTGAACGATCCCTTACTTAATTCATTTTAAATAGATACTACCTATATACAACAATTTTCATATCTCGAAAATATCTCAGAAGTATTTGCAAATAATAAATAAATAAGACGAGAAAGAATTTGCATTTTTCTTTCTTTTGTGGCAGTAGTGGCAGTGGATATGAATGCTCATGAATTTATCTACCTGCTACAACATTTATCACGTTGAGGCTTGGAGTTTGTGTTATAGGTTGTGATGATGTCGAATTGGCTATGGAATGTTTTTGATGGTGCTTTGACTTCACATTGCCACCATTTGTGCTCTTTTGTAAATGCGTTTGATAATGCTTAGCTAAATGTGCTTTCTGACGGAAACTTTTACCGCACAGGCTACATTGAAATGGCTGTAAATCAACGAAAAAAAAAAAAAAAAAAAAATCATTTATTGCTTTAATAATGAGGCAATTAGAAACTAATAAAGTAGGTATTTATTTGTGCTTAAAATAGTTTTTATTGGACTTACCTTTTCACCTGTATGTGTACGAATATGAACATTCACTGAATATTTATCCTTGAAACCTTTTGAACAAATAGAGCAGTAGTGAAGTGAACGTTCTTTTCTGATACCATTGCATACAGTCGTTCCAGCAGCAGCAGCCGAGCTCATATTATTTGAACTATTATTCTGAACTGATGATGTTGTAGTTGTTGCGATTCCATTATTATTGATGATATTATTGTTAATTGAATTAATTGGTTTTTTGTACTTTTTTGTTGATTTCATACTTCGCGACCCATCCGACGAGATGAGTGTTTGAGACCATGATTTTTTTGAGTCTGTCAATATGCCATTTCCGTTCGCTAAACCATTTGAATGAAGCGTGGGCGACGTAATATCTTTATCGTTTGAGTTGAACTCATTAACATCATTTGGATGGCGCGGTACTTGTTTCTTGCGGATCTATTTAAATAATAAAGATGAAAGAGAAGTAAATTAATGTCAAGTGGATAGCTTCTTTAAGTGGTTTGAGATCACTTTTAATTCCACAGAATACATACCATATTTGTTCTGACATCAGGCTCACATGTTTCCCAATTTTTTATATCATTCCGATCAATATTCCATTCATTGTTATTATTCAGCTCTTCGCTAAATGCATTGTCAAGTGTTAGAAAGATTTCATCTACAACACCTGCCGTTGTTTGCGAAAGTGTTGATTGAGGATTTTGGCTGTCATCAAAGAGAGCATTAGACAGTGTGGAATCGGCAAACGTAAGTGTTTCCTGCGCAAAATTGACAAAGAAAGATGAGATTGAGAAAAATAAAATTAATGTACATCGAATATGCATTTTCTAGCCATTTGAAGCTATTTCTCTCTTGTCTATAAAAATCACTTATTCATTCATTCAATTAGATTCATCCGCTTGTAAATGAAATAAGCATGTAATATGAAAGAGATTAAAAGCTTCTGTGAATGAGGATTTGTTAAACGCATTTTTGCTGAGTGTCATGAATGATTTTTTTACAGTCATTAGTCATACTATAAATCTGGTCAGTCATACTATAAATCTGGCCAGTCTTAAATGACGTCAATTGAAAAATCACATTGTTCGGTATTTTTTTCCGGTTTGTCTCATGTAAAATTTTCTGACTAAACCTTCTAAAATACAGCATTAGAGAACAAGCCATTTAGTTTGAACAGATTCAGTTTCACTGACTTCGAGTCCACATGACAATTTTTTTCAACTTTTGTGCAGAACTCATTTTTGTAAGGTTTTGTATCTTTCGAAACTTGATACAACCCAAAGTGACCTGGAAATCCACATAAACTCAACAAAAGTGCATTCACAGAAATTATATATGGAAATATCAAAAAAGATGTTTTATTGAGTCACGCACTTGATCATTGTTAAATAAGACACGCCGAAGCTCTTCATCTTGCTTGTTCTGTGACGGAATGAGCGTCTGTAGATGTACTGTTTTCGCATAACCTTTACCCTGTAAAGCCGATCTCAGTAATGATTCTGGTGATTCCTGCATTATATTATTGATGGGAGATGTTAAAGATAGAAAATAATCAATTATTAATGTGGTATAAAAGATTCAGTTTTAGAGTAGAAAAACAAGTCGGTAAGCAGACATAGCAAAAAAAAAAGATAATTATCTTACATTCGATATCGCTTCATTTGTTTCCCAGTCTTTGATTTCATTCTGCTCCATACTCCACTCCGCATTATTGTTTGACACATCGGTATAATTAATTAAATCGCTAGACGCGCTTAGAGTACTTTCAAGCATAATACTTGTCGTGGTAACATTTGATTGTGGCTGAAGAATTTGTGGAGCTGTAGCCGATCCATGCTGCTGTTGAAAATTACTTATATCGTCCTTTGAACTAAAGCCGCTGTCTTCATAAGAAAAGCATTCCGTTTTAACGTACGGATAATTGTTCAATATTGTATCCAAATTGATATCCAAGCCGTTTGCTTGTTCACTACTGCTGCTCGTTGTGATGTCTTTTCTTAACCATTGATCCGTTGATGAACTACTATTCAGTACGGTTATCGTGTAAATCTTTGTTAAAAATAGAAGTAAAAATTTATTTGATGTTATTTTTTTTTGTTAAGAATGAATTGAAAAGAAAGGAACGAGAGGAAAGAATAAAAGAGAAGAAAAGCAGCATCTATAGACTTCAATCAAGTGAGGTCACTTAATTCAATTGTTAAAAATCAATACCTGTCCATCAGCATTGATCAATGAAGGACCTGAAGTAGTACTGTTGCTACTGTTATTTGTGGCAGTTGAGATTGAAATGTTTGCTGTGTTCTGCTGTTGATTCCAACAATAACGATTTAAGTCTTCGAATATGGCAGTTTCTAAGCGTTGCTGTGTTTCTTTTTCTGCACCCCAAAACTGAAAATAAAAAAGAATTAAGGAATTAATAGAAAAAATGTGATCATTATAAATTAGCATGAATTAACTTAAATTATTATGAGCAATTAGATTTAAATACCATAATATAAATGATTGTGATAATTTTGCTACAGTTGATTATCTCTTTAAATGCTACTTATTTTTTTCTCATGTGTAAATTTGTACGTCGTTACACTGTAGCATTTTTCATGTTCACACAACAAATGTTATATAATTGCCTCAAGAGTCTCTATCTTTAGCTTACTTGAACTCACTCGCTAATAATTTACAGAAATGATAGATTAAACAAACAGATATTTTTGACTCATGGACAAAAGGTTTGGTCAATCATTCAATTAAGACTTAATTAGTTTATATCGATTTTACCAAATCTCATAGTCGGTGCTGTTAGAGTCAAAATTAAAAACTATCACAAATTTGGGTACGGTGGGTTTTTAATATTGATGTCTAATGCTTGAGGGTAGCTTGGATTTTATCGAACGCAAAAAAATTGCAATATTACTTACTCTCTCCCTATAAGCCCAATTACCAGGATTTTAAGATTTCCCTGTTTCTAAAATATTTTCGAGACAAATGAAGGAATGTGTAGGTTCTGATGATGCATCATAGACCCTATACTATTTAGCATCAAATTACAGCTGTACTAAAATTACAGCTGTATATTACAGATGAGCTTACGTCGTTACGTAAACAATCAAATTACAGCTGTAATTTGATGCTAAATAGTATAGGGTGCATCATAGTGCATTACTTAGATTTCAAAAGATTGTTGGACTGAATTGTATGGTTCGAAAGCAAGCCTTAGTATGAAATCAATTGTTGACCAATCAAAGAAATAAAAAAATTAAGTAAGCTACAAATTAATATCTGCACAAAATGTCTCCACCAAAAAACATGTGCTACAAAATTAAAAGCTATTAAATATCTTGTTTTGAAAACTAATCGACTTTTATTGATCAAACATTTACCCGATAATCTAAATATTCTACAAAATGATTGTTTGTGCCTACGCATTTAATTTTTGGTTATGCCATAACAACCTTGTCGGAAATTTTTGCTCATTGATCAAAAATATTAATTTTTTTTAAATGCTGCAAATGCTGGTCATTGTGCATGTTTATGTGCTAAAATACAATTTAATGAAGTCCGAATTAAATTCGAAATTTAAAATGTTGATATTTCATATTATATCCTATTTGTTTAACAAGCTATTCAAAAATCTCTTTATCCACTAGTCAATGTTTGACTATTACTTCATTCATGAGTAATTTATGCACAGTGATACTGCTTTTTTTTGCCATTAGATTTCTGAGAATTTTGATGCAAACAAACATATGTGCACGCTTGTCCGTGATATTTTGCAAAGTGAATGGGGTCAAAATTTTCAAATTTAAGCTCTAAAACTTTAATGGTGCTTTTTTAAAAATTATAAATTAAATATTTGCTTGATTTTAAATTTTTTTAATGTTAACGTAAAAAAACGTGGTAAAAAAGAAGAAATTGTTAAAATTAATTGCTTAATGTGCCTTGATAGCTCAGTTGGCAAGGTACAGGTCACAAAAGTTGGCGTTAAATTTGAACTACCGGGTTCGAATCCCAGCTTAGTAATATTTCAGAAGTTTAGATACTTCGACTTTTAGGTGCAGCAGTTTAAGACGTAAAACTAAGAATTAGGCGATGTGAGATGTAGGAACGGGTCAAGAATTGTGTAGACAGAATGACAAAGGCCTTGGCTTTTACTGCAACGGACCTGAAGATACTGTGACCTACTGAAATTGGAACGAGAGCCGACATAAACACTAGTTCTAAGATCTCAAAACAGTTTTTAATTGGCTGCTGGACACACAACTGCTTAGTGAAGATTATGCACTACACACTGAGCTAGCGTACATAATAAAGATTTAAGAATTATTAATAGTAAGAATAAAATCGTAGCGATTAAAGGTTTAGTAACACTGTTGCACAATTTTAGATGAATAAATTGAATTATTTCAGTTTAGCTGTATGCTTTGTGGACGAAACCAAAGAATGAAACTGCGTGCTCACAAAGTGAAGATTATCCTGACTCGTTCAATTTCAAAGAAAAATGGTCAAAGATGCTCAATTCCGTAATAGAATTTATAAGATTATAATATTTTTTTAAAAACTCGAATGCATTTGTGAATTACTCTAGCAATACTGTAAAGTACAAGCATGTAAAGCTCATGTACCAAAAAAGTTATAATCTAAGAAAGGTAATCAGTACCGTTACAAATTAAGAAGAAAAGCATAAAATACACATTAAAAAGTGTTAAATCAAGTTATTATTAGCAATCAAGCTTAAAATCCATAATCCTAGCCATAATTTTCCGCAAACCGATAATCTCCTTAAATCTAGAATCTCTATAATCAGCATGTAATAATTAAATTAATACACATTAATTAAATAACATGTGATTTATAATTTTCCACTTTGATGCTCATCTATCTTAATAGTTGTCTTAATGCGCGCATTCGTTCATCTAACTTTAAAAATCTCTTTTTTTCAATAATATTCTTTTAAATAGATACATAGGATGTTGTCATGAAAATATATATATATATATATATATATATATATGTTTTTGTAAATATATGTCAACAGTTAACGAGAGAAAATATATTATCGCACGTTGTGCTTATCATCTATCAATTGTAAAGTTATTCCAATAATTTTTCCATTCATGGTATTTGCAAGAGGAGAAAGAAAATTGCCAACAGTAATAAACAGACGGAGATTACTTACAATTTACACAAATACCCGTAGACCATGGCATTGAAAATGTTTGTATGAAAAGTTTTGAATGCAGCATGACTTTAGCGCATTTACTCTTTTTTTAAGTCAAGACTTTATTATTCTTGTGAAAGACTTTCGGATTTTATGTGATTTTTGTACTTCAAAGCTGTTCAAATTATGCTCCGTGACACACAAGTCACGACATACTAGTGAATAGATCTAATTTACAAGTGTTTTTTTGAGCGAATTAGCCATTTGAAAAAAAAGCTAGCCAAAAAGTGTATCACAGAATAATAAAGTTTGATGCCCACTGGGTTACTGCATTTGTGAAACGATTTTTCGGTTAAAAATCAGTCCAAGGGTGTGCAACTGAAGAATTACATTTTGATCATTGTTGATCATTTTTGATCATTTTTTGATCATTTTTTGATCATTTTTGATCATTTTTTTATCATTTTTATTATTTTTGATCATTTCATCAGTACTATACCCTTGAATCAGTCAAACATTACTAGAGTCATTAAGATAGGAAGTTAATAAGGATATTCGATGTTGTTTGTGACTATATTCTTCTAATTTGGGGCTCGTCACAAAAAAATTGTACGTGAGTGAAGCTTTGTTATTCTTGATTATCTCCTTATCCTTAAAAGTTACAAATTTTAGAGTTACTTTTTTAAAATGAGAATTAAAATCCTCATATATTGTTGTACAATTCACTTCATGAAAGTTTACAGTTACTCGAAAAAATCACTTTAACTAAGCGTCACTCACGTACAATTTTTGGGAATTTTGCTATATCTTCATTATTGTTCATTGATATATCTCCAAATGTATTTTTTTAGATCCGAAATTCAATTCTGTTCTTTTGAGTTTATAAAAAATTTAAAATTGCTGCATTAACATACCCATGTGGACAAAATTAAGTTAAAAATTTTTTAACGGTTTTGTACTTTTTTGAATTTTTTCGTTTGTAATTTGTTTGTTTACAAACAAAATCGAAAATGAAATTTGAAAAGTCAAGAAAATATCACTCAATAATGATGTAAAAGCTCTTAAAATAGTCAGAACAGCTGATGCATCATCCACTTTTCGTATTCAAATCATAATATTTTGGATTAATGATTGAATAATTAAGAATTTTGAGAATTTAATTTTTGATGTTTTGTATGATAGTGTTAGTAAAAAATTCAAATTATTTTTTTCCGTTAAGCAAAAATCTTTAAAAAAACGTCGAGGCCAATTTACATTTCGTATCAAAATTTTTATTTAAAACCCACTTTTTGATAATCCTCAGCTTCAATATTACTAATCTTAAAACAAGACAGACATAATGTTCCTAATCATTATATCAAGCTAATGATAGCAAATAGTAAACGAAGAAACAATGAGAATTTATATTTATAATATAAGAAAAATCATTACAACAATGAAATAGCGAAAAAATAAAGATGAAATCGGTGAAAAATACGTGAAACTCTATTAGGTTTTGGCATTAGACATGAATATGTTCATACTTTAACTGTAAAATAACATTTTTCCCTCACATCATACTGATAACTTACATCTTTGCATATGTATGCACATTATAAATTTATAAGTACAAAAAAAAAGAGTTGACTTTAATTGAAGAAAGAATGGAAACACATTTTATAGCACTTTATAATTTGAATATAATTTTTTTTCCTATCTCATCTCATCCAGCAATGTCGAGGCTGCTGAGATTTGTTTCAATGCTATTCAATGCACGATAGACGATTACAGAAGATATGAGAAGAAGCTAGTGAGAGAGATCACACGATAAATAAATAATATACATTTAATATTATAATATTGGATATATATGCATAATACAAGAAGCGGTTTAATGCTTCTTTCCTTCTTCTCTTTATTCATTGCGAATGAAAAATAAATTTACAACTATTAGTAGGTGATGGGGATTAATGTTGAATAAAATCTGATATCGTTACAACGGATCGAGTACGGATTGTAATGCTGTTTCCATTTTCAATGGGAGAAATGCTATTCATTAAGTAATTTTCTGCTGTGGCTTAAGAGAAAAAAGAATCTCAAAATCGATTTAATGATAAAGAAAAATTAGTGAATTATTAGCTTTGATCTGATTGAAGTATAGCACACGAATCTAGTGATTTATTGTAGCTAATGGCATAATGAAGAAACGATTTAGAATTTAAAATTCAATTCAGTTGCAATCATTAAAACTTTG